GGTACTGCGGAAACAATGAACTGCACGTACTCGAACCGCAAAGTATAAGCGCTGCTCCGCCATCTTGACGCCGCCACTGAACCTACATGGGATTTAGATACGAAAGTTTCTACCGACGTCGTTGTTTTTCACCTCTTCCATACATCTGAAACACTGACAGAGCAATATTTTCTAAATTGCAGCATTTGCCCTGAAACGAGCCCTCTATCTGCCCGCTACACTCTATAGAAAATGGAAGTAGCACTGTCGGCAGGAAGATCAGGAACACTGCAGGCGTTGATGGGATCTTCCTTGAATTCTTAAGAACTTGGGTTAAAAGGGCCGACAGTGTTTTTCGTCTTTTTTCACGCCAGTTCACACAACAGGATAAATCCCGTCCGCCTAGCGGTATGTCAAGTTCATGGCCTTTCTAAAGCCAAGAAGAACGTTCGAAGAGGTCGAAGAACTACTGACATGTATCCGTACTATGCACAATCAGGAAACTAATAGAGCGAATTTCGTTAACGAGGCTGTCTCCTATAATTGAAGTCGTCCTTCCTGTGGAACAAGCTGACTTTCAACTTTGGTGCAGCTGTTACGAGCAATTGCTTTCACATAACAGCTTGAACCAGACAGGATTTCAGCGGAAACCAAAAACAACGCATGTATTGATCAAGTAATCATTGTTTTATGATGTGGTCTAGTGCTATGGTCCTACACAAAGTTTCTAGAATAATCAGGTGCCTAAAGACCTTTCGCTTTATCGCAGCCTTAATTATCTACCTTTGGTACCGGGTGCACATCAGTGGGCGGGTTGGCGAGAAACGGACCCTTAACAACGGCCTCTCGCAGGGTACAGTGCTTTCTCCAATTCGCTGTTGAATATCTGTATCAGTGACCTCCCACCAACAGCGTCGAAGAAGCTCATTTGTGTCGACAGTATTGCAGTAGCAACCGAAAATACTGACCTGTGGCAGATAAGCTGTATGCTCACGGGCGATCTCGTTATTGTGACTCAGTGTTTTCATCTGTGGAAGCTATGCGATCTAGGGCCCATTTTGAAGAAAGAATGTGAGTTCTCGGAGGAGGCAGAAGAAACTGTGTACAAAGTGGCGATTGCGGAATCTGTCATTCTAATAATCATGTCTGAATATACGCTTAAAGAGCCTGATTGGAATGAACGGTGCTAGCACTCTTAACAATAGCAGCATGAAGTTGTCGTAGTTTTGCGCAAACACCGGAATGGCCATTATGAACCCCGTCTTGGAGCATCAGTGCCTGGATTAGTATACTTGGTGCAGGGAAGCTTGTGCACAGAATTCTGTGATCGATTTGATAATTATATCGTCTGACTTTCGACGCTGTATAATGGATGTTCGCGTAAAGAGAGGTGCAGAGTTGCCAAATGATCGCCACTGTTGTTGGCATACTACGCTTTCAAAAATAGACTGCTACGAGACGATCTGGTAGCAGAAGCAACCAGAGAATCAAATGGGAAACATTATCTTCAGCGGAAACAAGAGCGAAACTTGCAAACAGTATCGCACTACGATTTGAACAGATCTCGATGATGACCTCTGATGTGAAAACCGAGTGGAAGTTCTTTAAAAGCGACGTACTCGAAGCTGCCGCCGAATGCAGCGGACTCAAACGGATTGGTTTGCCGCCTGGAGGTCAGAAATGAAATTATTGATGGACACGGGAGGTTCAAGTGGCAGTTAAAGAGAGAAAGGCTGCATTCATAACTTGGATGCAAAGATCCGTCGACTCGCATGCGATGTCGAAGCGCGCGAGGCAGCAGCGAAGGCAGTTGCGAAAGCCAAAGCTGATTCCTGGGAGAAGATCGGCGGGGTGCTGAAGTCGAATTTCCAAGAGTCAAACAAGTTGTTCTGGCAGATTATACGCTGCCTCCGAGAAGGGAACAACGGCAGTTATGAGAGTCTTGAAGGACCAATCCCGGCACCCTTACAATGGATAATGACATACTTCGGTGATAGAGCATGTTTTACAACTCCTTAACCACGATCAACTGCAGGAACAATCGCCTCAAGAGTAGCGAACAGCGGATGAAATCACAGAAGCTGTAAAAAATTTGATAAATTCTGAAACTGCTGGAGTCGAGGAAATCTTTCTCGAAATACTTAAAACTTTAGGTGAACAAGGCCTGTTGGGGCTAACTTGTTTTTTTGAATCTGCAATACGTTCTGGAGACACCAGTGGGCATAGAACGGAGGCTATAGTGCCCTGTTCAAGAAGGTAGACCATAGGAAGTGTACCAATTATCGTGCATTACCGTATTGATTATTTACCCGGAAAAGTCTGCGCAAGTGTTAGAAAGAAGGTGTGGCGGCAAAACTGACTGAGATACGAGAAAAGCAATGTGGCTTCAGGTCATGTCGAATCATCTGACCACATATTATGTCAGATTGTTGAAAAATCATGGGAGTTCACTGATCCGGTTTACATGTGCTTTGTCAACCTAGAGAAAGTCTCTGATCGAATTCGGTCCAAGAATCTGTGGATGTATCTGCAAATGTATGGAATCGATGGCAGTTGCTATGATTAATTCTGTCACTGTATTTTAATAACAGGTGCTGCGTCAGAGTAAATGAAATCAATTCAAGACCCTTCAGCATTGGCACTGGTCTCCGCTAAGCTTTGTTCTGTCCCTTCTCCTGTCTGTTGTATATGGGTTAGGATAGTGAGGCGCAGCCAGTTCGACGAGTGTATCAGTATAGTTAATGGGGAGACGAGAAGGTTGATGGATATTCGGACGGCCTAGTTCTCTTGGCATCTTGAACTGATCTCCAACGCTCCTCGGAAAGGTTCGCGGCCTAAGTGAGACGTTGCCGGCATACAGGTGAACATGTCTAAAACGAAAAGTCTAGTGCTTTTTCGTGCTCCCGCCGTTCACATTCTGCAGATAAATGAAGAAGCAGTGAAACATGTGAATAATTTCCCGTTCTGGGTGGTGCTTATTTGTGTAAATGGAAGAGATTGACGGGCGAATTATAGTTGCCAGCGACTTTTTGCGTGAATTAGTCCGCCCTGTTGTGGCTGAAACAGAGCTGAGTTAGAAGACTGAGCTGTCTGTTTAAGCGATTTTCATCCTGATAGTTACTTACGGTCATGAGTCGTGAAACATAATTGAAAACCTTTGATCTTGGGTACAAGTGGCCGAAATTCGTTTTCTGAGACGAATCGCTGATCTGGCGCGTCTGGACATTGTTTAGAAGTCAGA